CTAAACCAAAATCCAAGACCTGTCAGAAGAGCCAGGGCCACTGTCACAGCCAAGAGGATCCAGCCCAGGGCACTAGGAGGTGCTGCAGATTCAAGTGGACACCAGGACGTTGTTTCCAATCCATTCCCTGTTTTACCCCCTTACACTCCCTGTTTGCTGTATTAACTATTTTCTTTCAGTTTCTACTGCACCAATCATTCCTCCTATTTTATTCTTATCCTTTTTCAGAGGGGAATCCTTCTTCTATCCTTCATATTTCTGCATCTACAGATCCCTCATGTTTAATTCTTCCATTCCTTGGATTAAAATAATTGTCTTCTTTTGAGTCTAAAATCCCTAATCTCTCAAATTTTTGCTGGCCCTCAAGCTCTGCTATAGCAGACCGCCTCCCTCCATCTCCAGCCTGGGTCCCACTCTTACCACCCCAGTAGAGGACGAGGTCCTGCCCTCCTAGGCTGCTGTGCTTCACCCTGCAGGCCAGGCCAGCCGCCTCCCCAGCTGCCACATCCAGGGTTGCTTGGAGATGCCACATCCCATCACCATTGGGCAGGATGTCACCTCTCTGGGTGCCCAGCTGCTCCTGGTCACCTCGCATCCACATCACCCACACGGGCTTTGGGTAGAAGCCAGACACGTGGCACACCAGCAGCAGACGGCCAGGCCCAGGACTGGGTCTGCTGGACATCCAGGCCTCGGGCTTCACTGCAAAGGACAGAAATCACATCCAGACACAGACTCTAACATACACTCAGAGGTTCAGAACTCCACGTGAGACTACATGGATATATACTTCCGCCTTCTGGAAATGTCACTCGATATCCTCTTTTTATCCTGAATTTGACTTTAAAATAGAAAAATTCTTTGAGATGGGCTACAAGACTGACCTTGTCGCTGGAGATGAGCCTTCCCTGCATCTAGAAGACCCAAGGTGAAACGTGGGCAGGTGTCACTGAGGAAACTATGTATCCTATGTGTGTAGCCTTGGTTGTGACTGAGCAGTTTGCAGACTTTCTGGGCCTCTTCTCCACCCTTTGGAGATGGTGACCATGTTTTATTGTGGTAGCTCAGGAAATCATATCCTTGGATAGCTACCTGCTTCAAGCCTAGGAAGCCCTTCCCAGAGTGCAGTTCACAGCCTATTGTAATCTGCAGATCAAAGGGATCTGGGGAAGAAGAGTCATGAATTAGAAGAGAAAAGGGAGAAAATGGAATGAGATGAAAGCAAAAGACTATAAAAGCAGAAGGGAGTTTGGGGAGTTTAGGGGATGGACCTCAGTGTGGTTTGGTCTGAGGTTCACAGAAAGGGGAACTGGTAGGAGCTGGAGGTGGAGGAAGAGATGAAAATATGAGGAAGGGAGGGGATTGTTCAAAGGTGATAGGGAAGGTGTGGGGGGTGAAGGACTTCATGTGAGAGAGCTGAGACTCTAACTAACCAGGGTGAATGTATCCATGGTAACCAAAGCAGTTTAGATGGGGATGACGAAAGAATGAAATGGGAGAGAAAGTCACACTTTAAGGAGTCACCCAAAGAGTGAGGAAGCGGAAGGCACCTGGCTGATTACTGGGGAAAGGGTGGCCACAGGATGCCTCTGAGGGGAGACAGTAACACACAACCCAGGAGGCAATGAGGGAGCAGTCCATAAGTGGCAAAAACTGAAGTTTTTGAAGAATTGGATTTTGGTGTATAGCACTTTCCCAGGGTGTGGTTGCAGTTTTATGCCGAAGAGAGTGGAGTAAGATTCAGAACAGCGTAGGCAGTTTACTACAGGAATAAGAAGTTCACTGAGGGCTGAGGATACAGCTCAGTTTATAGAGAGCTTGCCTCATGTGCACAAGGCTGGGGTCAATCCCCAGCACCACAGATCAAAAAGGTCACTGAGAATCCTTACCTTTCTTCTCCCCAGCAATGGAACTAAACTCACCTTCAGACATGAAGTTATTAGTGTAAAATCCCCGAATTCCAATGGAGTTTACCCGGAGAAACCTTTCCAGATCCACCAACTCCCTGTTACTGAAGTTGCCCCTGGACCAGGGATACAGGTAAATGATGGCATCAGAGCTGCTGTTCCAGCTGTGAGTCTGTAGCTCCCCCAACCAGCCTGAGCTCAGATGTGCCCAGGAATGGTTGTGAAAGGATGACGTCTGGAGGACAAGGTAGGAGACAGGCTCCTCAGACCCTGTGATGAAGAATAGACAGAATGTGGGGAATGTGACATTGGGAGAGAGAGAGAGAGAGACTGGGAAAAGAAAGTTGCCAGAGTGGGAAGACTCAGAATCTGGAAAAATGGAGAGCCACCGTTACCTTAGCTGACATCTGCTGGCCCCCAGGGTCCCATGCTCTACCAACCAACTCCAGGAGACCACGGATGGCATCAGTAAGGACACACAGAATGGGGCCAGCTTGGCACTCATTCTCTCCAGGTATATGCAGGGGAAACTACCATCACCACATACACACACACACACACACACACACACACAAACACACACACGCCTCTAACAGGTCTCTTGCCCCAGTTCTTACCATATTCACTGTCACTTCCTGGGAAGAGAGCAGCTAGAAAGGGGAGTAGCAGAGAGAGCATGGCCCTTGCAGATGCTGCTTCTTTCTCTAAGAAACTTGGCCTTTGATTTCTGTTCTAAACAAACCTACCCACAGACCTCTCTTCTGACTTCCTTATTCAACCAACAGACAGAACTCTCCTGCCTGAAAATCTGTTTCCACCCCAAACCCTGACCACCTACTCAGTGTGCCATTTCCCCTGCTCTTCTGACTCTCTGCCCAGTCTTCCAACTTCTCTCACTGTCTCATATTTCCTTCCTGGTCATCTTCCCCTATTTCAACTGCTATGCAACATGTTTTATGTGGCACTGAAAAGTCACCTTACCACTAGGCACTCTTCTTCTTTCAGTGCAGGGTATTGATCCCATGATTGTAAACATTTTGAGTTATTTGAATAATTTTGAATTATCCCCCATGTGCTCTCTTCCCTGCCTCATCCCCCACTCCACCATCTTCATGTCGCTGACATCACTGGTTACTTATTTACTTCTTCAGAATCACTTTGGATTGTCCTCCACACCAGTATCAACTAATTAGTCTGTGGATCCTGTATCCAGGGCTGGCTCTGGGAGGCACGCAGCCAGTCCAGTGATACACTTACTGCTCCATGATCACCACCTTGAATTTTATAGTAATTTTTTTGACTTTGTGTTTCATAAGCAAAGTTCAGTGGAAGTTCTATGGGAGCTCACAGAGCCTCCCCAGCTTCTGTAGGGTTCTCCCTCCCACAACCTCACCACAGGTGCAGCACCCTTCCACCTGCTCCTCACTGTCTGGGGCCCTGGTAACTCTACACTCTTCCTATGCACCTCCATCCTGCACCACTGCACTGACCATGTCTCACCGAAGACTCCATCTGCCATCAGCCTCGGTCACTGTCCCATGCCGTGCAGGCACAAAGGGATAATGGCACATGCACCCAACAGTGTGTGGGCAGAACACAGGGCCCTCGTTCAGCCTGGTGCCAAGTGTGGGGAGGGCCAGTTCAAATTCCCACTTCAGTTCAGCTGGTAAGGATCATTTGAGCAGCTGGGGTAGCAGGAACCAGGCAGGGAAGCTTCCTTGTAGTCATGAACTGCAGTGCCCAGGTGTCTAAGTGCTCCTGCAAGCATCCCGTAAGTATCCCTATGCCCAAGGGACATAACATTAGCAAGTCAAATAAAAACACAGAGACATAACTATCTTTCCTTGAAATAAGAAGTTTTGAATTTTAGTACCTTTAAAAGCACTCCCTCCCCTCCCTTTTGAGCACAAACCTCCTATTTTCTGAATCTTTATGTCTTCCCCAAATTCTTTTACTGGAGTCCGAACCACCCATGGGATGGTATTAGGAGGTGGGGCCTTAGGGAGGTGATTAGGTCATGCTGTCTCCACCTCAGAAATGAGACTTGTGTCTTGTAAAGGGGACCTCAGAGAGACCAAATAAACCTTCCATGATGTGGATCTATTTTGAAGGTGTCTTTGATGAACCAAAATGCAGGTCTCAATACACACTAAATCTACCTTGACCTTGGACTTTCCAGACTCCAGATATGTGAAAAATAATTTTTAGTGGTGATAATCCACCCAGTCTATGGCATTCTGTGATATTAATATGAATGACTAAGGCTCTACATTTTCATATTTCCCTGGATCCCACAAAATATATGACTGCTGCTCTTGAGTGTGGGATGGCAAAATCAAGGAGAAGACAGTTACAGTTGGACAGGAAAGAGAGCAAAGAAAATTAACTAAATAAGGAATGAGGTTCTGGGACCAAAAGGTTGTGAGCTACAAGAGAAATTAAGGATATTATAGATGCAGGAGAAGGAGGAAGAGGGGTGTTTCAGTGAGTGTTTTGGCCTCTGTGACCAAAGGACATGACAAGAAAAATTTGAAGAAGGAAAGTATATTTTGGGTCTCACAGTTTCTGAGCTCTTAGTCCATAGATGGTCAACTTCACTCCTCAGGGCCCAAGGTGAGGCAGGACATCACGGCAGAAGAGTGTGGCAGAGGAAAGCAGGTCTGAATGTGGCCACCAAGAAGGAGAGAGAGAGAGAGAGAGAGAGAGA